CTTTCCCTAGTTGTTTCTCATAGCCAGGTCTCTTTCCTGTTGATGGTGACTGTAGAATTTGTTTCTTGCTGCTGCTTCTTGAACACTTCATGAAGGAGTAAATACAGCTCAGACTTTCATAACCACAAGAAGCACTAACCCATCAAGTAGCCCCTACAGAAAAAAAAAAAATTAAGTTAGAAAAGTTAGCAAACACAAGCCGCACTCCTCAAAAATTAAGAGAAAAAACAAAAACTTCAGACTGCCAAAAAAACTCTGCTGATCAAGGCTGTTTGAAATAACAAATACCACCCAAGGTACAAACTGGCCAGTTTAACTACATGCTCCTTCTTCAGTTGATTTTCTTCAATGACCACTGAAAATAGATTAGCCTGTTCTCAATCCAGCTTTGATAATTATTTGGAATTTTTGAAGCCCAGGTTACACCCTATGAACCTATTTGCACCCACTGCACAAACTACCAACATCCACATATACAGTATAACCCAACATTTTCTGACACTCCAAACAACTCTGGTCTCTTTTTCTCTTCCATTTCTCTGAAGCCATGTTTCTTTAATGAGTTTAAGAAAGAGAACTTTAAGATACATGTACTCAATGAAACACAAAAATATATAGCATCAATGAAGCAAGAAAATACAGAGCAGGTCCCTATCTAGCTACCTGCCACTAGGGAACCCACCACTTCTGTGTTCCAAAACAAAATTTTTAACTACACTGCAGAGATTAAAAAATGTATTTAAGAAATGAGAAATTACTGTCATTGTTAAGCCATGGAGCTACTCCAAACCAGTAGCTCCAAACATCAGGTTTCAGTTATTCTTACATAAAATGGACTGACGAATAAAAGAGGTGGGAGGGGCAAATGGAAAATCCTGCATTTGGATTTTGCAATGTCTGAAAGCTCCAGATCTTTCCTACTTTTTGATGTGTGAATACAGATGTACTAAAATGTCACATCTATTGTATGTTTCAATGTTACATTCAGTCTTTCAGTAACAAAAAAAAACCCGAGACACCACCTTTACTATAGGACTGCTTTGGATGTCTCTGAACACCCCGTCACTGCAAGGAACTCAAATGCCTTCCTTCAAGTTCTTTGACACTTGCTTTTTCCTCAAAGCCCTACCTTGTCATTACTTTTACCTGACCAGTACATACCCAGTCTACCTTAAAATTCATTGTAAGTCAGACTCACTAATCGTATCTTCTGACATACCAGGAACTGTCACTTTTCTTAAACCACAGCACAATTTTAGAGTAGCTGGCTCCAAAAAGCACTCAAGGTAGCTTATTCCAAAAATGCACAGAAAAAAGCAACTTATAGCCAAGCTGCTGATCTTCAGCATTCCTCATTTTATTTTCTGTCACTCTTAACATACAAGCACATACAAGCCACAAAGAAGAAAAGCTGAAAGATTATTACATCACTTACGGTAATTTCATCCTCATGAAAACTCTGGCCATGAAGAAGCTCAACAGCACACTGACAAAACCAATAAAGAGCAAAAGAAACCTATTCAGCTTGGGGATATTTGGTGCATTGGATCGATCCAGAATGATGAATCCTATGCCACCCATTGTGAAGAGGAAGCTGGATGCAAGCCCTTCCATAATATATTGTCCATTTACTCTAAAAAAAAGGGGGGGGGGAGATGGGAAGAGGAGAGTGTCAGAAAACATATTAGTTCTAGAGAAACTATTTACAATCCAAACCCCATCTACTCAATCTGCTTTAGCTGTACAAACACACAGGATGATTAACTTTGATGGCTGACTTTCTAACAAAGAGTAGGTATGGAAACTGACTTCACACAATTACACCAAGGCTTTGACATGCAATTTATCTCCAAGATTGATAGTTTGCAAGGTGACCAGTCAAGCATGCTAGTGGTTTTACACATAATACCGTACGCTAATGGTACTACACAAGCTCATCAGTTTTTAGAAAGACCTAAAGTAGCCTTTTTCATGGTTTCACCGACTCGAGGCATGGAACCACAACCCCCGAGCCACTGAGCTTTCCAAGTCTTACTTCCAACCCAATGGTTAGGCATCAGTGCCTGGATCCTCACCTCAGTACAAATTCCACTCAAAGCACTATGTTAGCATATGAAGCACATCTACTGCCTCCAGCACACAGCAAAAGCAGTTCCTGCCTGCAGTATGTTTTGCTACCTGCTCATTAAACCCACATATATGGATTGTGGGGAGCCAGCCTGAAAGTGCCGCAGACCTCTGTCAGCCCACATGACAAGATTTCCTTCTTACAAAGCTCAAAGACACTGTTGTTACACATTTATAACTATGTTCCCCACCCTTAGATACAAAAGTCTCAAATTACACTAGAGTTTAAAAGGCCAGAACTTGAAGTTTCACAAACATTATGTATGCTGCTATGAAATACGTTCAAATACATCTGCATCCACTATAAAACTCAACTTCAACAGCAAAAGTTTGGAAGAAAAAGAAGTTCTGACAGAAGTACAGTCTTTTCATTTGTGGAAGTTTTAAAAGGGTTGAGATTTTCTATTTCCATTAACTTCAAAGCTTTTTTTGTAATATCTGCAAACTAAGGACTGATATAAAACAGATCCTGCCTTACACCGATCTCAAAAAAACAAACGTAGATGCAGAGCTCTGCAAGACAGGTGTATTCCCTTGTGCTTATGCCTTTGCAGCACCTCTCTTGCAGTGGCAGAGCGCTGCTCCCACCCTCTTACCTGTAAGCCAAGAAGGCCACTGGCCTCTGGTGCCCGTGTTCATCTGTCATCGACCCCACGCTGGGAGGTTCAACAATCACATCGTAGATAATCCCTGTGAGGAGAAAAGCAAGCGCCACCTTTGACTCGCGAACACCAAGCACTGCCTCAGCACCGCAGGGACGCTCGGACTTGGACCAAGTTCCTCTTTCACGACCGACGTGGAGCCGGGCAAAGGGGAACTCTGCTGCCCGGCGCAGGGGCCA